GGGGAAACCATGCAGAGGACGAGAGGAGGAGGAGGAAGGGAGGTGCGAGGTCGGGAATGCAATGTGGGGTGGTATGGGAGTGCCTCCCGGGACTACCAGCAATCAGATTTGCAAGTGACTCCAGGAACTAGAATTTAGAAAGTTAGTAATGGATTGACCTTAGAAGCGGGAATGTCTGTCAGAGCTGGGAGAGACCTTAGAACAGGGACTGTCAGAACTGGGAGAGACCTTAGAACAGGGAATGTCAGCGTTAGGAGAGACCTTAGAACAGGGAATAGCAGTGTTGGGAGAGACCTTAGAACAGGGAATGTCAGAGCCAGAAGGGCCCTTAGAATAGAGAATGTCAGGGTTGGAAAGGGCCTTAGATACCATCTAAGGCTATGGTTCTTGGAGAAACTTAGACCTAGAACACTGCACTAGAATTTAACTTTCTTTTGAGTCCAGCAGGCTTTCTACTCCCAGGCTACAACTTTTAGCATGTGAAAATCAGTATCTTTGAGTGTGTGTCCAAGTCTCAGCTTCTTCCTCTATTCTTCCCTCTCTCTCCAGTCTCCCAAAGAACTACCATCTCATGTTATTAAAATTTTAGTTTTAGTTCTTAAGAGAATTGAGTGGGGGAAGTAGAGAAGAGGAAACCTAGTGATGGCTGGCATAGGATCAGTGTTCCGCCCATTGCATTAGTTTCATCTTGAGGTGGTGGTTAGTGTGGGCTAGTTTTTCCGAAGGAGAGCTCCGGAGCTCTTGAGGACTCTTAATATTTCCATTCAGTTTATGAAGTGCTATGCTGCATACACAAAGATATCGACCAACCTGCCTCTCAAGGAATTTACAATCTAAAGGGGGTGAAGACCCACCCTGGCACATTACCTACTACAGGAAGGGGAGAGAGATGAGTACAAAGAAGAGTTTCAGGCAAAGTGCTATTGAAAATCTGAGGAGGAAGAGAGAATTTTCCAAGAGAAGTGAGAAGGAATCTTAGAGTTCATTTACTCTAATACCTTTCATTTTTAAGGCTAATATTAACTGATATTTTTATAGTGCTTCAAGGTTTGCAAAATATTTTGCTTACATTATCTCATTTGAGCTTCCCAACAATCTTGTGTGAGATATTATGAATATTATCATTTTTTTTTTCATTTTTACAGATGAAGAAACTGAGGCTTTAAAAAGCTGTCACCTGCCCAGGAGCAAAACTGAAACCTATGTCTTTTGATTCCAAATCCAGTGGTTTTCCCAGTGCATGTGTGGATATTCCTTTGAGGTCCCTCCCTCTCCAGACCTTGGGATCCATTCCATTTCCTAATCTATGATCTTTGTTATGATCCTATACTCCACTGGTCGAATTTCACACCATGGAAAATATGGCATCTGCTCTGTTCTTGAAGGGAAAGACTTGAACATGTAGAAATATCAGACCCTTTAAAATTTGTAAGAGTGGGGAGCAGCTAGGTGGCGCAGTGGATAGAGCACCAGCCCTGAAGTCAGAAGGACCTGAGTTCAAATCTGGCATCAGACCAAACACTTGACATATACTAGCTGTGTGACCTTGGGCAAGTCACTTAACCCCGATTGCCTCACTAAAAAAAAGAAAAAAAATTTGTAAGAGTGATTTGCTCACAACAATACTATGAGGTAGGTGGCGTAGTATTATTATCCCCATTTTACAGATGAGTAAACAGATGCCCTGCCAGAGATCCTCAAACTAGTAAGAGACAGAAACAGGTCATTACACCTCTTCATTAAACTATAGCTGCCTTCATTGAAGCATATTTCGTTCAGTGACCAACAGAGAACCCTTGAAGTGTTTTTTTGAGCAAGGAAATGATATGGGAAGACCTCTGCCTTAGGAAGATAACATGCATTACAGAGGAGGGAGAGGCAGGGAGACCAGCCCTTGCTGTTATGCCACATAGAAACACTGCAAATCTAACAGATTTAGCCAGACACTAACTGCTAAGGTATTGTGGTGGATAGAGCGCTAGGCCTGGAGTCAGGAAGACTCAAATCTGTTCAAATCTGTTCAAAGAGTTCGAATCTGGCCTCAGACATTTACTTCTGTGTGACCCTGGGCAAGTCACTTAACTTTCAGTTAAGCCTCAGTTTCTTCATCTGCAAAATAAGCTGGAGAAAGAAATGGCAAATCTCTCCAGTATCTCTACCAAGAAAACCCCAAATGGGGTCATGAAGAGTCAGACATAACTGAACAACTAATTTGTTACTTGTCCAAACAAATTAGCCTGTGTCCAAGCAAAATGTCCCTTATCTCCTTCAACCCCTACTGGGTATATATATCCTAAGTAGCTGCATACTCCTGGTTCTGTCTGTAGTCCTAGAAATAATGTTGGCTAATACTTAGCACCATCTTTATTTGTTCTTATGAATTCTAGGTCACTTTCTTTCAATGTTCCCCATCTCCTTTAAATCTTTAATTGGTCTTTTCTGGTTAGTTTTAAGTTCAAAGCTGCAGTTCCCTTCATTGCTTTCTCTGTGCTCTGAGCAAAGCAAGTCACAAGTGTGTCCACTGCACTGTTTTTATGATGATATGGTTTCTAGCAAATGTCTGGGTAGTTGAAAGTGAACGAGAGAAACCTCTTCTATCGTAGGATCTTCAGAGTTGAAATTAACGTTAAGGTCTTCCAGTCCACCCAGGAATTCCCTTCATATAGATTTAGAGCCAGAAAGGAATTCTGAGGGCCAAGCCCTTCATTTTATGGCTGGAGAGGCTAAGTATTTTGGATAAAGGCACACAGGGAAAAAGTAGAAGCAGAACTTCTACACACTCTTCTGACTGCCCAGCCCATACTCTTTCCATCACACCGCCTTGCTGGAAGGCATTGAAAAGGATTCAGTAAGATATTTTAAGCTAATAATCGGGGATGGCTGGTGGGGATGGGGTGCCCACGTACAGGGGCAGGAGAGGGCAGACTGTGATGAAGGAACAGCAGGTGCATAATTTGCTAGTGTGTAGAAGAATGTGTGAAGAGGAGTGTGAGAGAAATATGGCTGGAGAGGAGGTAAGTTAGAACCAGATGAGGGCCTTAAACACTAGTTCAAGAGCATATTTCATTCAGTGAGCAATAGAGAGCCACTAATATAGGAAGACCTGCCATTAGGAAGATAAATGGATTATAGAGGAGAGAGAACAGAGGCAGGGAGACTAGCCCTTGCTGTTGTGCCATATAGAAATAACTCCATTATCACATTACTTAGTGCAGAGATCATCATCCCTTTTTTATGAGTCAAGAAATTGAGGCCTTGAGAGACTGAGTGTCTCCATGGTCAAGTTTGGCAGAGCCTAGATTCAGACTCATGTGTTCTCCTTCCAAATCCCTGGCTTTTCTGCTATGCTATTTAAGTGCCCCTGCTAGACTGTAAATTCCACGTGGAGAGGTCCCAGGTCCTTTCAAGCTGCCAATCTTAAGCATCTCTCTGTGCTTTGTATTTCCTACAATTTGCTACAATTTCCTAAGCAAGTTGCTTATGGTCTGTATGTGGTAAGTATTACTGACTTGAATTCAACAGTATGAACAATGTCATGGATGTGGAAAAGGTGTGTTCAGAAGATAGCTGAAGTGTTTGAAATGAAAGTGGAGGGGAGTAGTATGCGAAAGGTCTGGAGGGCCTTGAATGTCAGGAAGAAGAATTAGGACTTTATTTGGCAGGTAATAAGAAGTCATGTGTTTGAAAGATTTTTTTTTTTCCCATCTGAAACACTTTTTCTCTTCCGCCCTCTCTCTAACTCAGAAAAGTGGTCCCTCTGCTGTTAGTAGTTTCCTCTTCCCTTGAGATAAGTTGCAGGCTGGTCAGCAGAGAGGTTATTTCCCAACTTGGCATTTAGCTTGTTGAACACACTGGGCTGACTGATAGGACCCTTCAGTAGCTAGACATCCCTGAAAGTTGCTAGCTCTTATTCCCTGGGAAAAGAAAAAAAGAAAAACAATCAAAATTGAGAGGTGGAAGAGACACTGGAAGATAGAATATAGAATGCTGGAACAGGAAGTGACCTTACAACAGAGACCTTAACTGTTAAGAGTTGGAAGAGAGATTAGAATTTGAGTTACAAGAGTTATTTTTATCTGTGACTTGGATAAAGGCATTGTGCTTATAAAATCGTCAGATGATGCAAGCCTGGGAGGCGCAGCTAGTATGTAGGACCATAAAATCAGGATCTAAAATAGTCTTGACAGACTAGGACAATAAAATTGAATCAAGATCAGTATAAAGTCCTGCACATGAGTTTAAAACATCAACTGTACAAGTTAAGGGATGGGAGAGATATGGCTAGAAAGCAGATCCTATGAAAGAGAGCTAGGAGTCTTAGTTAACTTTAGGGTTTAATAGGAGTCAGCAATGAGACAAGGCAGCAAAATCCTAACTTGGTATTATATCGTATTGTTAGAATCAGAGCATGTGGAGCAAGGAAAGTGCTAGTCCCTCTGTCTTCTGTTTTGGTGAGACCATGGAATGTGTTACTGGAGAAGGGGATCTGTCTACAAATAAGTGAAAATGTCTTGTAGGATAGTGACTTCCCTGTCATTCTAGGTCTTCAAACTGAGGCTGGATGGCTACTTGCTAGGGATGCTACAGGGGAATTCCTAGACACCCTCTGATGTCCATTCTGATTTTGAGAGTCTTTGTTTCTTTGTAAAAAATTTAGTTATTATCAGGGCAGATTTTTCAGAGCTAATATAATTTTTCTAGCCTGCTAATTTTTTTAATGACATTTTCTTTTTTTCTTTTTTTACAAATTTATTTATTTTTAGTTTTTAACATTTACTTCCACAAGATTTTGAGTTCCACATTTTCACCCCATCTCGCCCCTCCCCCCACCCCAAGATGGCATGCATTCTGACTACCCCTTCCCCTAGTCTGCCCTCCCTTCTATCTCTACCCCTTTCTCTTATCCCCTTCAGTTTTCCTGTAGGGAAGGATAGATTTCTGCACCCCATTTCCTGTATTTCTTATTTCCCAGTTGGATGTGAAAACATTTTTTTTAAACATGTGTTTCTAAAACTTAATAACATTTTCTAAAGCAGAGGAGAGATACCAGAGTGGGAACTTGAGAAAATAAGATAGCTACAATAGATTCTGCCAGTAATTTGTGTTGTGTGGTCTAAGCTTTCACTAGCATACAGGATGACTGAGGATGAAATGATATATTGAGGCATTGAATGATCAGCAGAATTGGTTCTTAGTGAGTTTAGATCCTCAGTGATTATATGGTCTGGTTTAAAGAACTCAGGATTTGGAGTAGGAGAACTTGGATTGAATCTATGGCTCTTACTCCCTGTGGGACGGTGGGAAAGCACTTTCCCTTTCAGTACCCTGAGGGTCAGAGAGGCCTCCTCTGTAAAATGAGGTACTTCTCCTGTGACCTCAAAGAAAATGAGAGGTGTAGACCCCAATCCCTGCTCTGGAGACAGTAAGCAATAAGGTGTCCACATGGGCATGAGCATCCACCCACACATATTCTCTGTGTCTCTCTTCCTCTCTCCCTCACTCTCTCCCTCCTTCACTTTCTCCCTCTTTCCCTCTCTACCTCTCTCCCTCCCCCTCTCCTTCTCTGTCCCTCTCTGTCTCTTTCAGCTGCTTTTTCTGCCTTTTTTCCCAGGGACCATGGAAGAAAGAACATCGTGCTGCTCTAGTACCACCCTGTTCCATCAGGAAGAAGTGAGTGGGATCACATATCGGATCCCAGCACTACTCTATGTCCCACCAGCCCGGGTATTGCTGGCCTTTGCAGAGAAGCGTTCCACAGTAGATGATACAGATGCACTTTATCTGGTGGTGCGACGAGGACAGAGGGTGGGCCATTCTGTGCAGGTAACTGATCCTTCCATTTTGGCAAGGCTTCTTGGAAAATTTTCTCTGAGGGTCTCCAAATAGAGAACGCTTGGAGGGACCTTAGAACATAGAATGTTGGAGTTGGGAAGGAAGGGTCCTCTAGAGATCATTCATTCAGCCCTTTGTTATACCCAGAAGAGAACTATAAGCCTCGAAGAAGTGGGTCTGAGCCCTCTCCTGGGAACTCTGGAGTCACATAGAGGAAGGAGGAATTCTAGTCCTTATCTCTCTCCTCACAGCCTTGTCGAGGAAGCAACCACATATAAGAGATTTTGGAGAAGACATTTGTGCTGTAAGGGGGAGCTAAGGTCCCTTTTAGCTGTAAGAGTCTAAGAACCTGTGCATCCCTGTGGGAGGAACTCGTCAAGAAGCTAGAGTACTCACAGTGGGCCTTTTCCCAGGGGCAGGGCAAGAGCCCAAGGCCGAGGGCCCAACTTCAGGGTTTGTGATGATGAGGACTTTCTAGGTATTGTGGCCAGGGCCTTGGGGAACATCCAGACCAGTGCTCCCTTGACAGATGAAGAAACTGAGAGCCTGAAGACAGTTCCAAACTAGTCACCCTGTCAGAGGTTACATAGTAGCTAAGACAGCTGAAGTTTGAACCCAGGTCTTCTGAGTCCAAATCCAGCACTTGCTCCACTGTCCTCATTGAATAAGTGAATGGGTTGTGTGCACAGATGTGTTGTGATGTGGGTTGTGTTGGATATGACTGCAGAAGAGGGGCCTTAGCACAGGACAACCAGAAGTCTTAAGGGTCCTTTGTCCTTGCTTCCTGCTTTTAAAGAACCAACAACAAATCCAAGCACTTTTTCCCCTGCAGATTAAAAATGTCCTGTCACAGAATCATAATATGTTAGGTCTGGAAGGGATCTTAGAGATCATCTGATCAGACAGCTTATTTTATAGCTTAGGAAACTGAGACTCTTTTGGGAAGTGAATCATCCAAGGTCACAGTTTAAAATAGATGTAATGACAACAGCAATAATAGTAATCACATTTATATAGCACTTGGTAGATGCTAAGATTATCCTCATTTTACAGATGAGAAAACTGAGACAGACAGGTCAAATAATTTGCCTAGAGTCACACAGCTAGTAAATATCTGAGGCCTGAACTCAGTGGTACATAAATATTGTTGTTGTTGTTATTATTATTATTTTCAGTACTACTACCTCCTACTACCACCACTACCACTACCACCATTTACACAGGCAAGTACATTCTCCTATTTAATTAGAATATAACTCTAGTGCTGGAAGGAAGCCATGAGATATAGTAGAAGTTCCAAACTTGAAGTCTCTGGAGATATATTTGAATGCCAGCTCTTTTGCTTTTAGGCTGTGTGACCTTAGATGGTTAACTTCCCCTCTTTTGGCCTCCGTTTCCTCAACTGTAAAATGAGTAGTTAGACCAGATGATCTCTAAAGTCCCTCCCTGATCTAATATATGATTCTAGGAAAGCGCAGATTAGAGACAGCCAGGTGGTGCAGCAGATAGAGCACTGAGCTGGAGTCAGGAAGACACTCTCTAGGTGACCCTGGGGCAGGTCACTTAATCTCTGTTTGCCTCAGTTTCCTCAACTGTAAAATGGGGCTAATAATAGTACCTACCTCCCAGGATTTTTGTGAGGATCAAATGAGATATTTGTAAAGCACTTAGCACAGTGTGTAGCACACAGTGTGTAGCACATAATAGGAGCTTAATAAATGCTTGTTTCCTTCCCTTTCCCCTCAGGTCTGCCTTACTCCCCAAAACATATTCTTCCATTCAGTGACACTGTCATCTTGGCTATCCCATAAACAAAACACGCCGTCTCCCAGCTTCAGGCATTCTCTCAGGCTGTCCCCCATGTCTAGAACACTCTCCTTCCTCTGCTCTGACTACTGACCTCCCTGGCTTTTCACCTTCTACGGGAAGCCTTCCCTAACCCCTCTTAATTCTAGTGCCTTCCCTCTGCTAACTGTTCCCTATTTATCCTGTAGAGAGCTAGCTTCATATATTTGTTTGCATGTTGTCTCTCCCATTAGATTGTCAGCTCCTTGAGGGCAAGGGCTGTCTTTTGCCTCTTTTTGTATCCCAAGCACTTAGCACAGTGCCTGGCACACAATAAGTACTTAATAAATGTTTCTTGATTGACAGACTGTCTAGCCCTCTTACACCTCACCTGCCCCCGTGTGCTCTGATCTGGTGACACTGGCCTCACTTCCCCCTCCTTGCCTTCCCTTGACTGTACATCCTCACTGTTGTCCCTCTTTCTTTCCTTGAATTCTCTGTCTCTTCTCCTCTCCACCTCCTGGCTTCCCTGAGGTCTCTGCTAAAAGGCCCACCTTCCACAAGAAACCTGTCTTAGTCCCCCTAAATGTTAGTGCTTTCCTTTTCACATTTCCCCTGTCCATTCTGTCTGTATCTTGTTTGTCCATAGTTGTTTGCCATATTGTCTTCCTGTTTAAACCATGACCTCCATGAGAGCAGGCGCTGGGTTTGTTTGGTTTTTACCTTTCTTTGTATCCTCCGTGCCTAGCACAGTGCCTGACATATAGTAGGAGCCTAATAAATGTTTGTGAATTTGATTTACCACTTCCTGGCTGGGTAACCTTGGGAAATTCACCAACCTCCTTGAGCTTTAGTTTCCTCATCTGTAAAATGGATGTAATAGTGAGTTATCTTTATTTTCAAGGCAGTATGGTATGGTGGGAAGAGCCCTGGGTTTGGCATCAGGAAATCAGCTCTGATATTTACTAAAAGCCTGATTCCAGGGGTCTCTCTTCACCCCTCTTCATTCTTAAAGTGAGGATAATAATCCTTGCGTTATTTACTTCAGGGGACCCCTTGTGGGTCAGGTGCTTTATCACCTTTACAACACTATAGAAATGTGAGGCAATATTACCTACACTATTTACTGTATAGGGTTGTTGTAAGGATGAAGTGGGATAATATACTTTGTGAGAACATCCTGTAAATGTAAGCTTTTATTATTATAGCTTCCCCTCTTAACCTTTGTTTTTCTAGATGGAAGAGGATTGGCTTTTTTTTTAGTCTGTTTTCAGTTAAACAAACAACACATTTATTGTTTCAGCAAACGTTTCTTGAACGCTTGCTGTGTATAAGTCACGTCTCCTAGCCATCGCCCATATTCTCTGTTTTTCTCCTTTGTTCTTAGTGGGGGCCTCAGGTGTCCCTGATGGAAGCCACGTTACCTGGATTCCGCACCATGAACCCCTGTCCTGTATGGGAGCGGAAAAGTGGGCGGGTCTTTCTGTTCTTCATTTGTGTTCGCAACCACGTCACAGAGCGGCGGCAGATTCGTTCAGGGAAGAACGCTGCTCGATTGTGTTTTGTGTCCAGCACAGACCATGGACAATCTTGGAGCCTGATTGAGGACTTGACTGAGGAGGTCCTTAGTGAGGAGATAGAGCACTGGGCTACGTTTGCTGTGGGACCTGGCCATGGGGTCCAGCTACAGTCTGGGAGACTGGTTATCCCTGCCTATGCTTATCACTCAGCCCGCTGGTCCTGCCTGGGGCCCCCTCTCTGGTTAAGAGCCAGGCCCCATTCTCTGATGTTTTACAGTGATGACCTGGGTGCTACGTGGAAACATGGGCAGCTCTTCCGGTCTGGGCCGACCATAGAATGTGAGGTTGCAGAAGTGATGAATTCGAGTGGCTGCGCGGTGTTATACTGCAGTGCCAGGACCCCTGGTAGGTGTCGGGCTGAAGCGCTCAGCACAGATCTGGGGGAACACTTTCAGAAACCTTCCCTGGTCCGGGAGTTGCATGAGCCCCCCCATGGTTGCCAGGGAAGTGTTGTGAGCTTCAGGCCCAGGAGAGGCCTTCAGGAAGATGAAGCCCCAGATGGTGGCAGTGACCTCTCTAGCCAGCCAGCATCTCTGGTCAGCACTGCTGGACCAGAGCAGAACAGCTACAAACCTCCAAGTTCATGGCTCATTTATTCCCACCCAACAAGCAAGAGATGTAGGATCGACCTGGGCATCTATGTGAACCAGGCCCCTCTGGAAGCTGCTCCCTGGTCCCAGCCCTGGATTCTCCACAGGGGGCCCAGTGGTTACTCTGACCTGGCTGCCCTCGAGGACGGCTTGTTTGGGTGCTTGTTTGAGTGTGGGGAGAAGCATGAGTATGAACAGATCGCCTTCCATATGTTCACAGACCGAGAACTTCTGAGTCACATTCAGGACAGCTGCTCAGGCTCAGAGAGGGCCAGCTGCTCAAATGTAGACTAGCTTTGGCCACCCCCCTTCCCCCCAAGAAAGGAGTGGAAACCACAGCTGCCTCTCTCCTATCTCAGGGTAATGGGGGCATAATAATAGGTAGCATTTGTATGTTGTTAATGTCTACAAAGCATTTTATCAATATTATCTCATTTGACCCTCATGACAGCCCCACCCAGTAGCTGCTACTAGTTATTGTTCCCATTTTACTAGTGAGGAAACTGAGGCAAACAGGTTAAATGAATAGTCACATGGCTATTAAATCTCTGAGGTCAGATTGGAACTTGGCTGTTCCTGACTCCAGGACCAGAGCTCTATCCAGCTGCCTCTAGGGAGATTTAGAAGTTAGAGTTATTCCATACCTCTTTTCCGGTTCTTACTTTGCCTGGCTGCTTCATGCATTTTATTCCTTATCCTCCTCCATCCCTTCTCCAAGGAGCAAAAGGGACCAATTGGCATTTTGCCAAGATCTGATGCTGTGAAAAGTGCTGGATAGGGAGTTTCATTTCTGGCCCTTGCTCTGATGCCAATTCCTGTGCTGACTTGCGTACGTCATTTCTCCTCTCAGTGCCTCAGTGTCCCAGAGGTTCTTAAGATGCATAGACAGGAGCAAACACTGATAGTCTGAGAAGGAAAGAAATGAGCAAGCTGAACTCTGAAATTCTATGATTCCTTTCCTCATCACTGTTGGGAGATGCGAGGGGCTTGGACAGTCCTAGCCTGGCCGTGAACTCCTGCATAATCAATATTTAGAGACAAGGATCTGAGTTGAGCTTGCAAGTATTTATTAAACTCCTCGTATGTGCCCGGCACTGTGTCAAGAGTAATGGGTACAAAGAAAGACACAAACAGTCCCTGCCCTCACATAGCTCATGTGAACAGCTGTGTACGAACAAGCCATACCTGGGGTAGAGTGGGGATAATCACAGAGGGAAAGGGGCCCGGGAGAGGCTTCTCGTCCAAGGCGGGACTTTAACCAAGACTTGGCGACGAGGTGAGCAGGGAGAGGATTCCAGGCATGGGAGATACTCAGGGCCATGGAGACGAGAGTCAGGGATGGCACTTGTTGAGTGAAGATCAGCAAACAGGCAAGTATCCCCGGATTGTAGAGTAAGTGCAGGAGAGCGAGGGGTAGGCAGGCTGGGAAGATAGGGAGAGGCTGGGATGGGAAAAGCTTCAGAACTGCTTTAGGAAGGGCACCCCGAGGGCTGATTGGAGGATGGACCAGAGTGGGGAGAGACTGACAACAGCCTTTTGCGGTAGGACGTGTGTGAGGTGATGAGTTGGGGAGAGAGGTGACCAGGGCAGAGTTGACAGGATTTGGCAAGAAATTGGATGTAGGAGGTGAGAGATGGGGAGGAGTCAAAGACAGCCCCTTGGGTTATAATCTTACCTCAGGCACTTGAAGCTGAGTGGCCTTGGCCAAATCCCTGGCCTCCCACACCTGTAGAATGAGAAACCCAATAACATCCCTTATGTGATTGTTGTAAAGGAAACCAGGGTCACACTGCCCCCGTTGTGTAGTTTTTCTCATGCTCCAAGGTCATCATTTTACTCCATTGAACTGCCTTCTTAATCTTTGCAGCTTCTTTCAAGCTTCCCTCTTTTCCCCCAGAAACTCTTCTTTCCTGGCTGGGGAAAAGGCAGGAACCTCATCATCAGAATGATCTCTTCCCTGGCTCATGCCTTTGGCCAGGGTTGCCATGAGAGAGGGCGACTTCTTGAGAGGGTCTCATTTTGCAACAAACTCAGATCAAGGGCAGGTAGGTGGTGCAGTGGATGGAGTGCCAGGCCAGGAGTCAGGAAGACCCGAGTTCAAATGTGACTGTAGACACTTACTAGCTATGTGACCTTGGGCAAGGCACTTAACCCTGTTTGCCTCAGTTTCCTCATCTGTAAAATGGCCTGGAGAAGGAAATGGCCACTTACTCCAGTATCCTTGCCAAGAAAACACCAAATGGGGTCACGAGGAGTTGCAGGATGCAACAGCCACAGCAGATCAAAGACTCTTCATCAGGTAACTGCAAAGGAAGAGAAGAGGAAGGAAGATTAAATGAGAAAATGTCATCTTTGAGAAAGTTGCTAGATCATAATGATGATAAAGCTGATATTTGTATGACACTGTAAGGTGCCTGTAAGTGCTTTTTGTTCATTTTCTCCTCCAGATATCAGTGAGGTAGGTAGGACAAGTATCACATTTGAAGGATGAGGAAACTGAGGTTCAGAGAGAAGAAGGGACTTATCTTAGGCTTTGCCTCTCAGAAGTGGCAGGTCTGGGACTCACACCCCCATGTTTTTAATCCAAGTTTGGCTCCCTTTTTACTAAGCCACACTGTCTCTCAAGTTATCACCCATTTTCATATTTCTCTTAATAGTCTTAGAACAACAGAGTTTAGGTAGGTGGGGCAAGAATCATTCCCTACATAGATGAGGGAAATCTAGCGAAGAGGTTTCAGAACTAGGGTTTGAACCCAGGTGTGCTGACTCCTACATAATTCCCAGTGTAATAAGTAGCTACAGCCAGTCTTTACAGTGCCAGCTGAGTCCTGCTAGCCCTTTGTGGGCAGGACAGGCTTGGCAAACAAGCCTCTCTTGTAATGTTGCTGTGCTCTGGGCTCCTTTCTAACGTTTTTGTGTTGTCTGCGGTTTTATGATACTTAACTGACAAAAAAGTGATATGCCTCGTCTCTTCCTTATACCTGACATCACTGAGTCTCTTTCCTCTGGCTACAGCTGGAATCCCAGCTTAGATTTGGCAGTTTTTTGGGACTTCACACTTGGGTTTCACACTCATGCAAGCCAGTCCCTGGGTGTAATAAAATTTTGGCTCCAGATGCCCCACCCATACCCTGGCCCATTTCAGTCACCCTACTGGACCATCCATGCCCTGGCCTTACCAGTAGGTCTTAAGAAGGGTGTGGATCTGGCCTTAATTTAGGGGCATAGTGCAGCCTTTCAAAAACCAGGCCTTGCCCCAGCTTGTCCCTGGCTTAAAATCCCACCATGAGAGATCAGTCAGTCACCAAACATTTGTTAATGCTTATCATGTGCCTTGCAAGCACTGTCCTAGGAATGCACAGAAAAACACAGCAGTTCTGGCCCTTGAGAAGCTTACATTCTTTACTTCTGCTCCTGAAGGTGTTCCTCTTCAAGAGAGCCTTCTTACATACAGGTGACCCAAAGAGGGGTCAGAGGTGGATCTGTTTTTCTTTGGTGTCAGATGTAAGTGAGGAAGCCCCTTTTACTGAGGCAGTCTACACCTACTCTGGACCTCAACCTTGAGTTCTGAGAGGTTAAGGGATTTCACTGAGCCAATACGTGTTAGAGCTGAGCTTCTTGACCAAGGCCAGCTTTCTAGCCGCCAGGCTGCAGTGCCCAAAGATGTCCACCTGACTCCTGGCTATCTCTACCTGAATGCCGCTCTGACCCCTAATCATCTGCCCCTCCTCACCCCTCTCAGGTCTGCTGATGTCTTCATCATCCTCCCAGTCCCTTGCCTTGGAAACCTAAGGATTACTTGTGATTCTTAACCTGCCCCCAAACCCATACATTTAATTAACTTCTAAGTCCTCTTCGTCTTCTGTGATCTTTCTCACTTCCATCCTCTCTCCTTCACTGTCCCCGGCAGGTTCAGTCCCTCGGTGCCCTCCACCTTGACCATTATAAACAGCTTTCTGATTACTGTTTGGTGTAGCACAAAGGGTATTGAGTTTGTGACTCAAAGGACCCACTTTGACCTCTGGTGTGTGTCTTGATGCCTGTGTGACCCTGGGTAAGTCATTTCTTCTCTTGAGGACTTAGTTTTTTCTTTTGTAAAATGAAGGGGTTAGACTGTAAGACCTCCAAAGTCCCTTCCAACTCTAGTCAGTGATCTTAGGAAGGACTTTCCCTGCCTCCAGGGCCTGTTCCCCTCCAGTCAATGCTGCACATGCTGCCTAGGTTATCCCCCAAACCCTCCAAGGTGTCCTGGGTCTAGCCCATGTTGTAACAGTTGCTTCTGCTCAGCATTTCTTCTCTCTTTCTGGAGATTGAACTAAGACTTTTGTGATATCCCTTTAAACCAAGAAAGCTCAACTGGAACCTAATTCAGAGACAGCTAGGTGGCTCAATGGGTAGAGAGCCGGGCCTGGAGTCAGAAAGACCTTAGTTCAAATCCAGCCTCAGGCACAGGCTGTATGACTCTGGGCAAGTGACTTAATCTCTGTTTGCCTCAGCTTCCTCACCTGTGAAATGGGATTAATAACAGCACCTACCTTGCATGGGTTGTGAGTTTCGAATGAGACACTATTTGTAAAGCACTTGGCACAGTGCCTGACACACAGTAGGTACTTAATAAGTGCTCGTTAACTGGCTGACACCCAGCAGTTTCCCACATTAACTAGGAAGAAGGGCAGAATTGAAGAAGCCAGGTGTGCCTTGCTTAAGGACAGCCTCTCCACAGAGGCTGATTGTTCTTCCTTCTGCTGCCGTGGACTGAAGAAGGTGATGCCTGAGATCCGGTGAACTCTCTTGTTTTCTTTCCTCTGTTGTCCTTGCCCATGGGTGCTGTTGTCCCTGCCCACGGGTGCTTCTGTCCCTGGGAGCCTTGCCTTAGGCCTTCTCTTGTGTAAGTTGAAATGTGCTGTAATAAAGATGTAAGCTTTAAGCCTTGCTAGACTACCTGACTCATTTTTGAAATTTTTTGCCACAGTATCTCTATCTCAAGAAAAAATTGGAACATAACCAGAATAATTATTATAATCTACTGCTCTGACCATGTCATTCTTCTCAAACACTCTCAGTGGCTCCCTGTTGCCTAGAGAGTAAAGTAAAAACTCCTTAACCTTCTTTTATAGTCTGTCTCCAACTTCACTTTCTAGCCCTATTTTCACGCCTTCATCTACTCTTGATTTAGCTGATCTCTAGTTTGATCCTTCCTTTTTCTACCTCTATGTTCATGCCAACTTTCCTGTTTCCTCACTCCTGCCTTTTAAAAGCCTTTTCTCCCTTTTAAGCCCAACTTAGGAGCCACCTACCCCATGGATCCTTCCCTGATTACCTACAGCTGAAAATGATTTCTCCCTCTTCAGAAACTCCTAGGGCATCTTCTCTGACCCTGCCCTTCACTTCTAGACCCTTCCATAGTGTATTGTACTTAGTTGGTTTTATATCATAGCTTTCTGTTCGATTATAAACTCCTTGGGGGAGGATTACATCATTTCCCCACTTCTATAGGCCTAGCTCTGAGGACTTCACATTTGAAAGCATTCTTGTCCAATAGAATTGAGTTGAGTCGAAGATACTGTTGAGTTGAAGGAAGGAACGTGGCAGCCAGCCAAAATTCCAGGGTGACTGTGGACAGGCAGAAACAATGTAACAAAAACGTTGAGCGCCATTCTGGGAGGGACCTTAGGAAGTTAGTCCGACTACCTCATTTTACAGATGAGGAAACAGATCAGCTTGGTTTGTGCCTCTCATGTATTTAACTTCTATTTTATATGGACTGGGTCTGTGATTTCATTGACATATGTTGTTGTTTGCCCTTTGTTCTTGAAGAGGACCAATGACGTAGGGAAGGTGGTATCTTGACTTGTAAGTGAATTGGATTTAAGTGATTTAAGTAAATCTTAAGTAATTGGATACTTAAGTATCCACTTAAGTAATTGGATGAAGGATTTAAGTCTGTGACTTCATGGATATAGGGAACTCCCAGATGAGTAAGCTCCCTCCAACAATGCAGGTTGGCACCTCTGCCCAGCATTGAAGGCAAGGAAGTTACTTATTCAACACCCAGCCAGTATCCAAGGCAAGACTTCAACCCAGGTCATCCTGGCTCTGAGGCCAAGTCTCCATTCTGCTATGTGTGTCCTGTTTTGTATTCTAATTGTGTATATATCATGGGAGACTGGAACCCAAGTCTTCTCTTGACCAGTCCAGAGGCCTTTCACTATATAAGGTGTCCCAGAAATCTTTAGTGCAGTTTTAAAACTTTAAAGCTTAAAATTGCACAAAGACTTTTTGGATACCCTTTACTAGACTGCCTTTTAAACCACCTAATTTAAAGATAGCTGAAACCTAATCCCACAAGAGAAAAGCAGTCACTTTAGGTAGGGTCTCCTTATGCTCGTGTCTCCCCTTGGAATCTTGACCTAGACCTATGTAACTTTCAAGTATGATGGCCAAATTCATCAGGATGTATTAGAATGTTATGTTTGTGTGGGGGGTAGGGGGTGGGCTTGCTTAGACTGCAAGGATTTTCGGGTTTTCACTTAGCTAAGCCCTCCCGTCTACTTTCCCCCCTTCCAAAACCATTCGATATTTCGTTGCCTTGAGAGTAATTATTAAATTAATTGATTGAAATTAATTGATAACTCAAAGTCTCAGCACTCTCATTAGGTTTAGGCGATTCCTTCCCCTTTCACTTTGAGGGAGTATTAAATGAAAAAGGAGATTTTCTTCTGGTTTTTGAATGGTTTAGGGTATCTGAAATTATGGTGAACTAAGAAGAAACTCTGGATGTAGAATCACAAGACTGTTTCTTTCAGGCCTTTTAAGTAAATCCCTTCTCTGCAAGGCTCAGGTGCCTCTTCTGATCCCCTAAAGTCCTTTCCAACCCTGCTATTTTATGTTCTGAGGCCCCTTCCAGAGCTAATGTGTTTCTACGTAAGATCATTTCCAGTTCTCAGTGTTCTAAAGTTCTTTCCAGCTATGACATTCAATGTTCTAAGGCCCCTCCCAGCTTGACGTTGTTTTCTAAGGTTCCTTCCAATGTTGACATTCTGGGACAAATGGTCACTTTACTTATTAGTGTCTCTGACATTCAGTACAGTAAGAATTTAGAAACCGAGCC